GCCCTTACTAACGTTTTAAGGACTAACTGACCATTTTAATGGGATGCCACTAACACTTTACCACATATATGATGCTGGTCTAAATGCCCGCAAAGGGACATCTGGGTAAACAGATTGTACCGTATCCACATCACAGAATAGCAAAAGGCCGTTGAAAACCGCACTCTAGGAAAACATTCAAGGATACAGCAAAATGCTCATAGTTTGCTGTTAGGTGAAAAAATACAGTACTTGTACTCCCACCCAGATTGTTTGAAGAAGTATGGGTATGCGTAGAAAAGGCCGCCGAGATGTGCCCCTGCGCAGACCTCTCCGGATGGTTGGCTTGTGGCTCCTCTCCCTGTACTCTGTTCTGTGCCCCCAGCGCACTGGACGACATGCCGTTGGCCCCTCTGTAAACACTCCGCTGTGCCTTTGCCCGTGGTCCTCAGTCTCTGTTCTCTGTTATTCAGTAACACTCAGCCGGCTGAGGGCAGGCCCGCCCTAAACTCTTGGGGACACTCCAGCCCTCCAGAGCCTGAGCCCAGCAGACAGGATTCTAGGGAGCTCCCAGGCCGGCACTGCCCTCCCCCACTGGCACCTCACTGTCCTTCCATCCTCAGCCCCACGTCACCTCCCTGCCCACGCTCTCTCAGTCCAAACACCCGTTATCGGAAAGTACAATGTTTTTGTGTGTTGGTTGACCTGCTCATATTCTCTCCCTGGGAGAATGTACGCTCCATGCGGGTAAGAACCAGGTTCTGCTTTTTCTTTCCTGTGTCCCTAGGGTTGGAAACTAGCCTGATGATCATTTATGAAGTGAACAAATGTCTGAACCTTTCCACTCAGCTCTGTAAGGGTCACCTGAGACGTTTTCACTGGGCAGCTCCTGATGGAATTTCCAGCTTCTTTCACAGTCAGTCAATGGTAGGGATCAGTGGGGCACCTGCTCCATGCCAGCCACTTAGAGGGCATCCCAGGGAGACAGATGCTGAATGCCATCCTGGCTTACGAAGCTCAGCCGGGGTGGACAGGTGAATGAGACAGGCGGGCATCCTAAGTGTCTGAATCTCTAACCCTGTGTTGGATATCAACAGAAGGAGTGTTGGTGCTGCCCTCAAGCTGAGCCCACCCACCCCTGCGGCTCTGGTGCCAGATGCCCTCAATCCTGTTGCAGCTTCCCGGAGCATCTCAGACACAGACTTCGGGCTCACAGCATTCCCAGCACACCTGCCCTGCCCTGGGAGGTCACAGCTGTTCTTTCCCTGTAAGAGGACTGCCTCCCGGGCCACTCTTTGTCGTCTGCTGTGGCTTCTGTGAAGAGTTCCCATCCCTACTTCAGTGATGGTGCCTCAGCCACACCACATCTTCCACCCACAGGAGTGGATGGGACATAGGTCACATCCAGGGGTTTCTGCCAGGAGCGTGGGCAGGCCAGAGTCTTGCCCCGCCCCTGCGCCTCTCCCGCAGCACCGCCCTAGGAAGAGAAGATGCCGCCAAGCTGCGGGCTGGAGCAGGCTGGAACCACCCAGCTGAACGGGTGTCTGCGCCCTGCAGGAGGCCTTGGCCACTCACCTGACCGGCTGGAGCCACTCCAAAGGCCACAGGGCGGAGGAGCACACCAGCCTCCGCCGACTTGGCGCGCCCCAGCCCGCTGCGCTCCAGGCGCGGGAAGACGCGCACCGAGGCTCCTGCCGGAGGGAGCGCCGCGGTGTCCGCACCCGGAGGGGAGCTTCTTGCAGTCAGGGGCCGCCCTGCCTGGTGCTGCATTGCCTCCCACGCCTGGGGGGATTTAACTCAGGCTGAACAGACGAATGAGTTTCCAAAGGGCCGGAGATCCAGAGCGCCCCAGTAGAAAAGCGAGAGCCCGGACTTGAAGGCGCAGGGCCCCCCAGTGACGATGGGTGGGATCGCAGGGAAGGAGCTGCCAGCCTCCACCTCGTCCTATCTACCGGGAGTCGGGGGGCTTCAACACAGCGGCAGTCCTACCGCCCCGTTTGGAAAGCCGAGGCCTTAATGCGTTTGAAAAACTTGGCAGGCAGGTGGCACACTATCAGGTCCTTAGCAAAGGATTTCAGGGCGCCCTCCAGGGACCTCTGCTCTAGACAAACCCTCTCCGCCAGCTTCATCCCCACCCATGCCACACCAGTTGTCCAGAGAGGGTCCTCTTTAACCAAGTTCCTGTTCTAAAGAAACAGCCATCAGAAAGAACAGATGTCCTCCAAACATTTGCGGGGTGTGTGTGTGGGGAGCATGTGTCACACTGTACCATTTGGAGGGGCATCCTCCCAGCTTTCAGGGCACTCATCCTGGGACACACAGTCCAGAGTCATTTTCAAACACAGAGGGTGGCAATGCATGGAAGAGGTTCTGGCCAAAAAGGTGACTCTGATCACAAAGTGATACCTGTCCACTCCATCTCACCACCACTAACATTGTGGTGTCCACATGGTCCTACCTTAAAAAAGGAACAAATAAAAACAGAGTCACAGGTACAGAGCACACAGCCTGTTTCCAGTTTCTGCCTCCCTGCCTCGCAGAAAGATTTAAGCATTTCCTCCGTCGTGCTTATCGGGACAGCTCTGGACCAGACTGTGTGAGCCCACACCCGGGCCCCTCCCCTTAGGGGCTGCATACCCTTGGGTGCCTCAGTTTCCTCGTCTGTGACTTGGGGATGGAACAGGGCTGTCCAGTCCATGAAGGGTTCACAGTGGTCCCTGGGACCGAGGAGGGGCACAACTCTACTGTACAGGCAGCTGGTGTCAAGCCCCCTTGTGTACGGCTTAGTCACCCCACATCTCCTCACTTGACCCCCAGGTATACTCCTCTCCTGGGTGAGATGCCAGCGCACACAGACACAAAGTGTCAGGTGGCCCATTCATCTGACGCCACCGCACCTCTCGCCATCCAGCACCGCAGCAAGCCAAACGCCGAGGTCACTGGGCCCCTGTCCTCACAGGGGGCTGGTGCCCGTTCTCCGGACACCTCCCTCCCCCCATCTCAGAGGTATGAGACCCACAGGCACTCTGCCTGGCAGGAGCAGCGATGTAAGACAATACCCAGTCAGCTGGCTGAGGACAGACAGCCCCGCGTGGCTTTCAGCTGTACCACCCCAAAGGCGCAGGAACATGTGGGAAACACAGATTCTCTTGTTCTCTCCAAAATGCCACCCTGGCTTTAAGCAGCCACAGCTGTTTGCAGCTCCAGATAGGGAGTCAGCGCTGGAGGCTGAGCTCTTACAAAGGAAGGAGCCAGCATGGGGTCCTCTGCAGGAGAAAGAGCTAATGGGGCACTGGATGGTAAACCCCAAGGGTGAGGGAAGAAAGTCCGTTTGCTTGGGCTGGGCTTCTTTCAGTAGACAACAAGACACAGACAGCAACTAGAGAGAAAAGCAACTGTGAATACTGTGGCTACAAAGAAACAGAAGAGATGCCAGAAAAGCTTCTCCTAAATCTCAGCAGCAGGATCTGGTGACTGATCAGAACCACCGCCAAAAGGATGGGGGGAGGGGACCCCTCCTTGGGCCCCCCAAACTAGATGTTCTTTTCTAGGGCCTTTTCTGACCTTCCCTGCCCCATGGGCCCAAAGGGTAGCTCTGGTCATCGCCTCCTACTTGCCTGGATCCCCAAGTTCACTGTGAGCCCCATGGCCAGGAGCCACCCCTGCCCCCAGACATTTGTTCTCCACTGTCATGTGTAAAAACCGCAGAAAGGGCATTGCTGGATAATAAGGAGGCTCAGGCAGAAAGAGGACACGCCAGAGGGGATTTATGGAGGACCAATCTGCACACTGAGCCTGTGTGGAGCCCCAGTGCGCCCGCACGGAGGAACTCCTTGGGGGGGGGGGGGCTGATGGGTCTGTGCCACCCGCGACCCTGGTCCTCCTGCTTCACGCCCCACCCGGGCGATCCGCCAAGGGAGTCGGCGCGGGGGGAGGGTACAAAGAGACGGTGGGGGGACAAAGAGAGTTCGCAGCGTGGGCAAGCCTCCGGGGGACACGAGAGGCGCGGGGTCCCGGTGGTCTAGGAGTCGGTGCGGAGGACCCGGGGGCCGGCATGGGACTGGAGGGCGCCAGGGGACACGCGGAGTGCGCGGGGGGGCGGGGAGATTCTGAGGAGGCGTAGGACTGGGGGGTCGGGGACGCGCAGAGGCCCGGGGGATACAGGGGGACAATAAGTGCTCCTGGGGGGCTCGCGGGGCACAGGGCCACAGGCGGACCCTGAGGTCTCTCTGGCCCCTCCCTGCCTCTCCCGGGGGGCGGGGCGCGGCGCTCTGGGCGGGGCCTGTGCGCAGGCGCGGACGCGCGCTCCCGCGGGCCGCGGGCTGGGGCGCCTCCGGGGGCGCCGGCTCGAGGGCGGGGCGCGCTAATCTCACTTCCGGTGAGCCCTCCGCAGGCCGTGATTGGGCCCGAAGCGGCGAGCGCGCGCCCGCCCAGCCAATCAGCGGCGGCGGCGCGGTCGGGGGAGGGGGAGCACGGTGGGGGCGCGCGCGGGCGGGGCGGGGCGGCCGCAGCCTGGTCGCCGCCCGCGGGCTTGTCCGACGCCCGCCCGGCTGTCCCCGCCGCCCTGCAGCCATGTGACCGCGCCGCCGCCCTCCGCGCGCCCG